TTTTAAAGTACAGTTATAATTACAACCTATATCACAAAGAATTAATGATGGGTTTCTTAGTTTCTACATATCTTAACAGAAAGAGGAAACTCGGGTTTATTCTGGAGGAGTTTTGCTAAATTCAGTATAAGAAGAAATATTTGTAAAAATATTAAATATTAATTTAGTTACTTTTCATTATAAATATTGATCTAACTCGATGGATACAAATAAATTAAAAATATAAGCTCGGAATGTCTCAGCAAGCAACTACTAGAAGTGAGAACAATCCCAATGCAATTGAAGTACTATTGGTATCAGAGACACATTTCACTGCAAAACTTTATAATAAATCTGACAGCTGACAAAGCCACAAACTACTCATTATGAAAAGCAATCAAAATACTAACAACTCTGTAATGAATTAATCACCTCTAAGGAAATTAAATAGGACTTAGGCTGGAATCAACCCCAAAAAAACTGAACTATTTACCGCCTATTTCGAAGCTACGTTAAGCAACCTAAAACAACAATATAGCAATGTAGAAGATAACAGCTCAATTCAAAATATAGCAATAAAAAAGTCTTTATAACAGAAATAAAAAACACTGCAAAATAAATTAAATTAAAAAAATTACCGGCATTTGATGGTATAACGAGAAAGATTCTAATTGATTTGCTTTAACAAGCACTTGTATACCTGGGAAACGTGCTTAATTGGGTTCTTTACATCAAGTATTTTTCAATAGATTAGAAAATATCAGAAGTAATAACTACACCCAAACCAAGTTAATACATAAGTTTTGTCAAATTTGTTTAAAAAAATACTGTAGCCGATCATTCACAAAGAAAATTTGTTGTAGACCATCAATTCGGCTTTCAGAAAAAATATTTAACTATACAACAGTTTCACAGAGTAGTAATTAAAATTACAGACAATATTGACTTAAAATATTGGAAGTGTCATAATAATAATTTAATATTACCTAACATTTTTATTCGACGCGTTGATTACGCCATCCGTAACGCCCGGTTTAGGCACATTAAACTCAAAGTCCCCTACTCGCCTACGTATTCCACATTTAATCTGCAATCTTTTCGCCCAAATGGAAACAATCCGCATATTTAAGCGGAAACTTCTTCGGGATTGCACTAACTCTGTTCTTTATAACAATGCTAACATCACTCTTGTTAACGAGTACCTTTTGGCACTCGCCCGTAAATAACTCACCCGGCTCCATGATCTCCCTCCTGACGTCTGTATCCTTAATACCCTCCACGAAAACTTCATTCAAGCCTTGCGCTACAAACGTCCATAATACTTGTCCCACTGCTTCGGTCATTGCGATCATAATCTCCACACTATTTCCTTTTATAGCCGCGGGTTTCGTGACCCTAGTTACAAAGTTTATCGCTAGTCTCACCCGCGCGTATCCGGTTGAACCTCACCCTCTTCACCCTATCTACCTAATTTACGCCGCTGCTTTCTTTTTTTTTTATTTAATTTAAATTCAATATATATTCTGTCACATAGTATGGTGACATTTCACAATTTTTTAATATATACTATTTCAGTCTTGATCATTTACAATTAAAGTAGTTCTCCCTGTAGAGAGCTACTCTTTTCTTTTTAATTTAAGATTTTTATATAAAGAGGTTTTCGAACAGAAGTGAAACAACAACAAAAATTTATTTTTTAAATTATTTTAATTAATTGAATTTTTGGCTGGCCATACAGCTGTTTCGAGTATTGCCAAATACCCTTTATCAGTGGTCTTGGAAATAATTCTTTTATTTATTTATTCGTAAATAATTATTTTTGAGACTGCAAGTACCAGGAATCGAACTCTGGTCCTGCCAAATGTGAAGCTCAGAATCAGCGCACCTTAACCAACTGATCCAAAGCGGTACTTGGCTTTTTTGTTCGCATATTTTTCTGGAGTTTTGTTACTTTTGCTATGAAAGTTTTTTATTAACAATTTTACTTGCTGTGTTTATATTAGAACGAAATCATAAACCAGCTGTAGAATAATTGAATTAATTAATTAATTATATTTTTATTTTTAATTGTTCAATTTCAAAACTATTCTATTCGTAGAGGCATTAGATTTTTATAATAAAATTTGATTTTTATAATAAAATTTGAAGCGGCGTTTTCCTTTTCAGTCTCGTAAATATATTTGAGGGGGACATCAAATTCGAAGCAAGAATGTTGGGATGAATTTGTATTCGTTCATGGTATTTTCTGGCTATGGATTTGAATGTTAGTTACATACCATGGAGCATTTACTATTTCTCGTAAACTTTTAGACTGAAATATTTGAAGAATTTCTATGTTGGATGTTGATGCTGTTCTCCATAGTTGAATGCCATAGGTCCATACTGGTTTTGGCACACTTTTATATAAAATAAGTTTATTCTTTAGAGATATTGAAGATTTTTTATTCAGTAGCCAAAACATTTTTCTATATTGAATCCCAAGGGATTTTCTTTTGTTAAAAATATATGTTTTCCATGTCAGACGTCTATCTAAATGCATGCCCCGGTATTTAGCGCTGTTTGATTGCGGAATTATTATATTATTAAGTTTAATTTCCGGGCAGGTGTCTTTTCTTATTGTGAATTTAACATGAGTAGATTTTGTTTCATTTGCTTTCATGCGCCAATACCGCAACCATTTTGATATACGATCAAGACCAGCTTGTAGTTTGAAAGAGGCTACAGAGGGATCGTTTGCACTCGCCAGGATAACTGTATCATCTGCAAATGTACCGGTTACAATTGCTACTATCTTCGGTAAATTGTGTGTAAAAAGCA